ATGTATGTATGTATGTATGTATGTATGTATGTATGTATGTATGTATGTATGTATGTATGTATGTATGTATGTGTGGCTTTATATTTTCTTGATCTTTAACTAGACATTGCACTTATTCAACATTTGCCTAAGCTGGAGAAATCAACTGTCCTTGGACCGACCTACAGTAAACAGACAGCGGAAGAAAAGAGGCCATACAATTACTGTTTAAGGAGTCTAAAAGATTATTATATTCAACATCTTAACTACAGTGTGGCTGTACTGAAATGGACTTTCAGTGTCTCCTGGATCTTGAACTTTTGACTGCCAAATGGACAGTGAGCTATTAAAAAGAAAGCTACTTGTACATATGGACCCTGGAGACCCTGTTGAAAAGTACTGCCCTGAAAAAGATGGACACGTGCAACAGACCCAGACTCTGCTAATAGCTCRTATCTGTCTCTGCCAAAAGGGATGAGCTGTAAGTCTTTTTAGTTCTGTCTGTCTGTGTCCGGCTGGTAATGGTTCTGAGATTACGTTGATGACAGTGATGGTAATTATGATGATGAAAGTTGGCTATTGTGGAGGAAAAAAAATGAATAAAGCCTGATTTTGCACAGTTTTACAAACAGTCTTGTTTGCTTTGATATTTGTTGCTGTTGAGTTTTTTTCTCTTGCTCACGTTTTAAGCAGAAGGGGGCAGTATTACACTACTTCAGCCATGCCATGACTGTTCTGTTTGAAGTCAAACAGAACAAACCAAACTTATTTTTGTCTTATTTGTAAATCCCTTATATGTTTTGTGTAATCAAGTTTATTTAATATTTATATGATGACAAAAAAAGACATAAATTTTGAAACCAATGGAATAGTTGTGTCTGTTTGTGAAATCTAAATTGTTGCAGTTTTGTTTTGTGATTCAGTTCAGTTCATCGTACCAAGAGCCCTTAAGAAAAAAGCAAACAGGTTCAGTTCAAATACAGTTACAGAACAATGCAGTCCCCAATAAAAAATATACATATTAGAAGAAAATCATCTTTATAATAAAAATGACAAGGCAGTTTGAATGTAAACATTTTCTAAATAAACTGAAATGCAAAGGTTAGACTTGCCAATTTGATTTAAAATATTTTGTTTTCTTATTTGTTATGCTATTGTTTTTTTTTTCAGGAAAAAATAGATTTTTCTTACCTCATTTCATTAAGGATTCAAATTTAGTTGTATAAGTACTGTATTTTAAACATCACTAATACGATAATATATTTCTTCATATAGTCAACAAAAATCTATTTTATAGACACACGTGCTTTATGTACTTCTTAATGTTTTGTTGATTTAGAAAAACGTAAGAGAAAAAACATGCTTAAATTCTAAAATTGAAAAGATTTTGCCTTTAAAATGATTTGATTTCACAGGCCAAGCTGACAATCCAACAGGTTCCTTGAGATTCCACCTACATTCATTTATTTTGTAACTGAAATTTTGTTTGTTTTGCTGATTTCTTTAAACCCATCTTTTATTTTTATTTTAAAAAAACACGTCAGCTTTAGTCTAAAAGCGAGGACACAACTGACTGCTGTTGGTTCCTCTTGCTCTCTGTGACCACAGAAAGCCCTCCTCTTTCAAACCTCTGCACCAGTCTCGTCTGATAGCTGTTTTGGCACACGATGCCCTGGATGTGTACAAGTGCTGGCTGTGTTGAGAGCGGGTTTAATCATAGGGAAGCTGAAGCACTCATGGGCTCTTGAGAAGCACTTTATGTGTGTATTTGTGGCTACGGTAATTGGGCGCCTCCCTTTTTGAAAGTTGACCCATCCGACTGTGGGTAGGCCTTTTGTGCTGATATCGATATATGTGCGAGTGACTAGCAGATGAGATGTATGGTTCACAAATTACTATGATCTCAGAAACCCGGCCCTCATGTTGGACATGGTCCCCTGGTTTTGGCTTTGTCCCCCGCTACCAAAGCCAGCTGGCTGGTTGCTTACAAGTGCAAACAGCTTTGATCCAAACGTTGCTTCTTCGCGCGTAGTTAAATCTTTCACCACTGAGGGGAGCTCTGGCGTCATTCTGCCCTCCCTTTGTTTCCACAGCTACAGCTTTCTTTGCATACTTAACACACAGGCACTGGCGGACACACACACACAGGGCATTAGCACACAAACACACTTACTGGTAAACACACACACACACCATGCAGTGGTTGTTTGGTCAGATAAAGGAGTAGTGACGGGAGGGCACGGGGTCACCAAGGGCGTCTGGCCCCCAGCGGAAGCGGCTGCTCCTAGCCTCCTTTTCTCTCGCCTCCTTAATAAGTGTGACCGTTTGGTTCTTGCACAAAAGGAGCAATTACAGGGAGTTGTTTAATCACCCACATTTTTATCGAGCACGGTCTCCTTTAGCTTGCAGCTCAGGCCCCACGTCGGCGGCTGCAGCAGCGGGCGACAGGAGTGACAGAGAAGGTCAGTGGTTTAACGGGGCGCGAAGGGGTTTCGTTTGAATTAAGACTCGCAGACTTGCTCCGCACACTGCGGAGGCCCCCGAGACAGAGACAAAGAGCTAGATGAGACGAGAAGACAGGTCGGCCAGCCGGGCAGAGAGATAGATGAACCAGAGAGAGGAAAAAAAAGAGACTGGGGGGCAGAGCTTGGTGGACACATCAGACTCGGGTCATTTTATTCACTAAGGAGGATGAATTTGCAGAAGTGAATCTTGGAGAAGCACAGTGACACAAAGTTGCATGGGTATTTTGTGCTTGGACACACTTGTTGATTTTTGACCAGTTTCCAAATGGTAAAGTGAGACCAGTGTTCAATGATGTTTTGTGAAATGCCCCAAATAAAGACTTTTGAACATAACTGTCAATGGGAAATGTCTGGATTTGTGTAGCTATGATAAATGCAGAGATAGCAAAATGAAAGAGAAAACAGGACCAAAAATAATAATAATCTAAGAGAAAATGATTTCTCTGCAGAGAATGAGTAAGCCCACGCTTACCAACAGAAAAAAAAAAAAAAAAAAAAAAACAGTACTACGCATTATCAGTGACAGTGCTTCTACTGAATTCTCAACCTTATCATTTTTTTCTATACTGTATGTGTGCGTGCAGAGTGCTACTCTCCATGATTTGACTGATGGAGTACAATTCATCTCATCTCATCTTTCAGAAAAAAAAAAGGCAGTGGCTGCTAGTATGAGACAAAGAAAGCAAATGGAATGGCGATTTTTGGAATGGCAAAAAGAGGGAGGGGGGCATGAGTGCATGGTGGCAATGCTGGTAGAAAGAGATAAAGAGTAGATGAGGATGAGAGGGAGAAGGAATGAAGGAAAGGGAGTAAACCATTGCTTGCTCATAAAGCCAACAGCTGTGTGGGTAATGTTTTGTGACACCGAGCCTCTCCGA